AACGTTCCCGATGCATCGGCGACGTCGGCGTTGCGAAAAGTGGGCCCCACATCGAGCCGCATCGCCGATGCATCGCCGATGCATCGCCGATGTGGCGCGATCATCCGACCCCATCTACTCCGACCCCACCTACGAGGCCTAGAGCCCAGGGCCCCCTAACCGAGGGTGTAGCCAAACGTGGAAATCGGCGTTCCCCTGTACCCACGTCTCTGACGCCCCGATCTGGAGGCCCCCAGGCACCACCGGGGGCATCCTGTCGACCAAGCCTCCGACGCCGCCAGGTCTCACTGCGAGTTCTTCCCGATTCTGGCATCTGGAGTGGACGTTTTCGACATCTGCCCCTGTGGGAGGGGTCGGGGCGTCTGCGGGCACCGCAGGGATGGATCGTTGTCGCAGGGGGCCAAGTCGGGATGACTTCGGCGCTGGTTTCTGACACCGCGTGGATCGTTAGACCTTGGACCATCGCGGCAATTCCGATGGCGCGGATCGTTCGATATCCAAGCAACCGGCGTCCTGTTCATTTCTCAGCTCGAGGGCGTCTAAGAAGGGGTGTCCAAGAGGCGTGGGCGCAACTCATGTCCCGAGGCATGTGCGCGGTCCAGGAGGGCCGCGGGTCGTATAGGAACAAGAAGAGGCGCCATGAGTCTAAAAGATACCATGGCTACAGCAAAGACGTCTCCTTGTAGTCATCACCCCGCTCTTGTCCACCCCCGAGAAACGTGGCTCCTCAAAGGTCTGGACCCCGTCCTGGAGACCACTTCTTATCCCGAGAATGTGCTTTTCGGTCCTGGCGTGACCCGCACGGACCCCCGAACGCGGAAAGGGCGCACGGGCCTTGGACGCCGAAGTTGGCACTTTTCGGGCGGTGGACCGTCAACACCCTGAAGGGCTGGACAACCAAAACCACGGAGGACGGGCCGCAGATGCAAGGACACAGGGGCACCCAAAGGTCACCCGTGTGGCCTTATTTTGAGATATGACTGGTCAGAACCTTCAGGCGCGACTATTTCCACGACGAGAGGATGTCAGGGAAGGACGAGGGCTATGTTGTTACCATTGTACTTGGGGGCAACATCCCAAACATATTTTCGAACACTTCGAACAATATCGAAACAGTGCCGAACGAGCAATCGCATCCCAGGGGGCGACACGCGAAATCCCACCAGTGTCGGTACTTTCCTGGTGCTCGACGAGGACGAGGAGGAGGAGGAGGAGGAGGAGGAGGAGGAGGAGGAGGAGGAGGACGAGGAGGAGGAGGTGGAGGAGGAGGAGGAGACTGGGAGGAGGAGGAGGAGGAGGAGGAGGAGGAGGAGGAGGGAGGAGGAGGGAGGAGGAGGAGTGGAGGAGGAGGAGAGGAGGAGGAGGAGTGGGAGGAGGAGGGAGGAGGAGGAGGGAGGAGGAGGAAGGAGAGGAGGAGGAGGAGGAGGAGGAGGAGGAGGAGGAAGGGAGGAGGGGAGGAGGAGGAGGAGAAGGAGGAGGAGGGGGAGGAGGAGGAGGAGGAGGAGGAGGAGGAGGAAGAGGAGGAGGAGGAGGAGGAGGAGGAGGAGGAGGAGGATTGGTCAAGGCAAAAGTAGGCAGGAACATCATACAGTCGGACTTGATTGGACAGGACACGCGAGAGGACACAAGACCCTTCCGAGTGCCACATTGCCATAGGAATAATGTAGGAGGCATAAGTCGCGAGACACAGGACACAAGGGTACCCTTGATTTGGCAAGATCGACCTACTAGTCAGTGCCGACTGTAAGACGAGAGGATGTCTGGGAAGGACGAGGGATGGAATGGCCACCGCCAGCCGAGCCCGCGCGAAGAGGAACCAGGACACCCCCTGCGGACCGCGGAGCACGAGCTCAAGCTCCGCTGTGGCCGTCTCCGGCCCGATCCAGGCGGAAAGGCGCAGATGGAGGGGCCCTCAAACACACCCACACTTGTTTTGCGCCTGCGGCTGGGCAGAGGGTAGCCGCTCCGGAGATCGGGCATCAGGGGGTCACGCTGGATGCAGATGCTGCCGCGGGCGGTGCACGTGAGGAGAGGAGGCCCCGGCGCGAAGGGAAGAGGGGACGCTGGGCGCGCGCTCAGGCAAGTCACGATGTGCGGCGGGGAGAGCGCCGAGGGGGGAACCGGCTGCGGCGCCGGGCAGCAGCTGAGGGGGTGGCGGCAGCCCTGCAGCGGCCGGGCGGAGCCAGAAGGGGGAGAAGCATAAGCAGTCACACACACACGCACACACACACACACGCACACACACACATGCACACACGCACACACACACACACGCACGCAAATAAACAGACACAACACACATCCGAGGATGCCCAAACTCTTTCCACAATTTCTGGGTTCTCGTTCCCCGCCCCGGCCCAGAAAGCTTCCCATGTGTGCCCGGGAGTCGACGGTGACTTGTGCCTGTGTGCTTGCTTTTGCACCTCCGGAACAGGAAGTAGCTAGGAAGCTGCGATAGGGAAAGTCGGCGAGGCACTGACTGCGGGGGAACGTCGAGGAGGGGGCTAGCGCAAAGGGGGGGAAGAACAGCGCTCTCGAATCGGCAACGCATCGCCGACAGCCCCCCGACAGCGAATCCGCACGCTCCGAGGCGGGGTGGGTTGTCAAGCCCACGCCGGCGAGACGAATGCGCGATTGGGCGTCGATGCGCGCCCCCCTGAGCCTATCCCCCCCTGTGGCTTCCCAGACCCCTTCGGGCAATGAACAAAATCATGGTGGGAGGTTTTTGAATATTTTCGGCCTCTGGAGGCCCTGACTGGGCCTTGGACCGTCAGAAAACGAGCAAGGATGAACAACTGGTCCAGGGAAATGGGTCGAGACCCCTGAGGCCGACGATATGAAAGAAAAACCATGACGTCGGAGGTCTGGGTTCCTGGTCAACAGATCAACGAATGTATTTGGCGGCCGTTTTTCAGACACCCCCAAACCGCTCTCGACGAGGCGCAGTCCTCGGTCTTGGAACCTTCTGGTGAGCATTGCCGCACGCCTCGAGACTGCGGAAGACGAGCTCCTCCACGCTGCCCCTGACCTTACCCCCCCCACCCCACCTCGCTTCCTGATGGACCCCCTGGCAAAATCGGCCACACGCAAGAGTGACCCATGTAAGAGTGACCTTCGGCGCGCGGCTTCGCGGGGGCCGCGGGGGGGCCAAACTCAAGCGCGCAAGATGGTACTATCGCATCGCAATCGGTGGTCGGGGGGCCCCGTTGCATCCGCGCCAAAGGTCACTCCGGCAAAAGAGTTGAGGAAGAAAATGCTATACACCACCAGCGCGTGTTAAAAAAATCCTCAAGTGGTGTCGGGCGCGCGAAAGCGGCAATCTTCGGCCACCCAAGGTTGCCCGCTATACGGCTCAATATAGCCCCCGATGGCTCCACCAAGGTTCAGGGCTGTCCCAGGACAGTTCCAAAGACCCTTCCAGGGGCGCCCCCAAAGGGGGGGGCCAGGTGAGGTCTGGCTCGGCACTGCGGGAGCAAGACCTTCCGAGTGCAACCACAATGCCCCTAAGGGGGCCAATGCGGCTTCAGCAAAGTGCGCCACAGCGGCCCGAAGGCGGCCCCCGAGAGGGCTAAAGAGCGATCCGAATCAAGGTTTGGTTCGACGCACTGGGAACCAGACCTTCCGAGCGCAACCAGGGTGGCCCCCAATGGGGGGCAATGCGACTTCAATCTGGACAAAAAGGGCGCCTAGGCGGCCCCGACGGCCCCAAGACGGCCCTCAAGAGGGCTCCAAGTAAGGCGTGGCTCAGCACGCTGGAAACCAGGCCCCCCCCGAGCGCAACCAAGATGCCCCCCCCCCAAGAGAGCCCAAGGTGATCCACACCCGCGTCGCACAGCGAGCTATAGCAATAGCTAGCAGCTATGATGGGCGTCCACGTGTTGGCGAGCAAGACGCCCCCATCTGTTTGAAACTAAAGGGGGGTCCTGCGCACGTAGCGTTGCGCAAGGTGTTGTGCTTCAGGTAGCTCATTGGGTGACCTCATTCCTCCTCCTCCTCCCCCTCCTCCGTTTCCTCCTCCCCGTCCTCCTCCTAGTCATCATGGCATTCGTCCTCGTCCTGATCTCCCCCCTCTCTCTCACCCCTTTCCTGCAGGCCCCCGCGGAACCTCGAACTCGGCCTGGAGGGCGAGGCGGTCTCACGAGGCCCGTTCCTCGCGCGAAAAATCCTGAGGCCCCATCCCCCCCCCGCCCTCCCCCTTCCGCCTCGTCCTCCTCGTTATGCCCCTCCTCTTCCTCCTCGTTCCCCCATTCTTTCCCCCTACCCCATCCACATCCTCCTCCTCCTCATCCCTCCCCCTCCTTTTTTTCCCCCGCCACCCCCCTTCTTCCTCCCTCACCCCGCGCCCCCACCCCCCCGTTCTTCCATGCCCCCTCCCTCCCCCGTCCCTTACTCCCCGTATTCATCCCTCATCTATCCCCCTTCCTCCCCTCCCGTTCCTTCCCCCCCGTTCGGCCCTCGCCCGCGCCCCCTTCTCGGGGTGTGGGTGCCCCGCGGTGGGCGACGTGGCAAGGGATCCCCAAAGCGAGCGACCTGACCTGACGGATGACGGAGGAGGAAACGGAGGAAGTGGACGAGAGGGGCGAGGAAGATGAGGATGAGGGAGGACGAGGAGGAGGAGGACGACGAGTAGGGATACGGAGGACAATGGAGGAAGAGAGGGATGAGGGGAGGACGGAGGAGGAGAGGGGGAGGGGCCAGGAGGAATGGTTTAACTCGCCACGCAGCGTGGCCACGCGTCGCCTCGCCGCGCGAGGCTGGCCTCCGAGCGCCCGACCCCCCGCGCGCGCCTGCGCGCCATCAAGGCGCGGAGGCCGGAGCAACTGAGCTCCGTCGTTCTCCTGATCTTCCTCCTCCTCCTCCTTATCCTCCCCTCCTCTCCTCTTCCCCCGCGCTCTCCCCCTGCACCTCCTATCCCTCCTCCTCCTCCTCCTCATCCTCCTCCTCCCCCTCCTCCGCCTCCTCCTCCCCGTCCTCGGCCAGCCTCTGGAGGGCGGGGCGGTTCACTCCACCACGAAGTCCCGCGGCGTGGAGTCGAACACCGTGCCGACGATCTCGCAGTGCTGCTTCCAGACGCGCCTCAGGATGATGGCCAGCGCCTTGGCCTCGTCGCCGTCGCACGGCTCGCTGATGCGAGCCCTCGGTGGCACGTGCGCGCGCCAACGAGGCGGGATGCCCGTGCTCTTCCAGATCGACGCGCCGTCGGGGAGGTACCTGCGAGCCTCGGCCTGGGCGATCTCGCCCCTGAAATCGATCCTCGCGCGCTCCTTCGCTTTCGCCTTTGGCTTGGCCTTCGCCTTCGCCATGGCCCGGTCGTTGATGCGCCTCCGCAGCCCGGAATGCTCTGCCGCAAAAGCGGCCCTCTCGTCTCTAAAGGAAGTCATGGCCTGCTGCTCCTCGTGGATCTTCTTGGCGTCGCTCTGGCCCATGCAGTCCAACGCCTCGTCGAGGCTGAGGAGGGCGACCGAGTACTCCAGAGAGACGTCGTTGACTGCCAACCTCTTGGCAGCGAAGGCCAGCGCATCAGCCTCGCTGCACTGGAGGATCTTCTGCGTGATCTTCACCAGCAGCACGCATAGCCCACTCGCCTGGGAGACGTCCAACGCCAAGGTCTCGGTGGCCAGCTTGGTCAAGAAGGACGACTTGAGGTTCCAAAATGCCTGCCTCGCCGCGACCTCCAGCAACGACACAGGCTCCATCCCCAGCGTGAACAAGCGGTTGACAGGATTCGCGTAGAGTATCTTCTGGCAGCACACGGTAGTGAACTGCTTGTGCTGGGTCGGGAAGCTCTTCCACTCCACGCTGTAAGCCTTCACGTCCTTAGCGCTGAAGATGCTGATGAGCTTCGGCTCGACCACGCCCTTCAGGAACTCCACGAAAATCCCCCTCGCATTGATCATGTCAGCGAGCCTCACCAGCTTCACAGGCCACGCCAACACGCAAGAATCTGGAAAATGATCGAGGCCGAAGTACCACTCGTCATCCCTGTGCACGCGCTCGATGCGGAACACTATCTTGTGGCGAACGTCGATGAGCTCCCCTAGCCAAGCGTGCTGGACGCCCTCGAACCCAAAGCCGTACTGAAACGCGTCCCTCATTAACTGCAAGTCGACGATCGGGATCATGTGGTTGCCAGGGCCAGGCGAGTACCATGGCGGCGTGCCCGCAGTTGACACGACCTGGCTCGCATCGATCGAACGGTCCTTCGGCACGGCTTTGAACGCCTCTGGAGGGAGCTTGCTCGTCTTCCTCTCCAACGGGATATCCATTGTGACGCCGGTATGCTTGTGTTTCTTGGTGATCACCTCCTTCCGCAGAACAGCCCCCATGCTAGCCTCTGGCTTCTTGAACTTCTTCTGGGCCATGGTAATGCGAGTGTTCTTCTGGCAGCCGATGATGTCCTCCACGATCTGGGTCTGCAGCACGCCGCGCACTCGAGGCACGACCAGCTTGATCAAAGGGACCTCGATCTTGAACTTCAGTTCGGTGCACGCCACGATGAACTGCTGCACCGAGACCTTGTTGAACAGGTGGCGCTTCATGAGAGCACTCTGGGACGTCGTCGCGGCGACCTCTGCCTTGCACCTCTCCCACAACTCGATGTCCTTCTTGAAATTCTCCAACAGTTCATGTGCGGGGCCCTTGTCCCTCAGGAGGACCTTCGCGAACCCGAAGGGCAGCCCTCTGCTCAAGTGCATGGTTCTCCTCAACCTGCAAGCAACTAGAGTGAGGGCGTGGTGGCCGAACATGTCCGCGAAATCGTCCTCGACGCCACGAGCGAACTCATCGCGCGCAGCTGCTAGCACCTTGGTGATGATGAAGTCGTTCGATGCGCACATCGGTGCGCTGCTGAGGCCGTCAACGATGTCCTGGATGTGCTGCATGAGCCCGCCCGAAACCTGCTCCAATACCCACTCCTGAGTTCCGGAAGCTGACTGCGAAGACCTGGCTTGGTTCGTGTGCCAGTCCATGACAGGCTTCGCATTGTGGGCAATGGTCCCCGCGAGCCTCTTGTTGGTGGGGTTCTCCAGCATGACCACACTGGCGACGACTGCGCTCTGGGCGAACGCCATGCTCGCCCTATCCTCGAAACAGATCCTCCCAGCTGAGGTCGAGGATCCACCTTCCGTCACCTTGTCCACGTGCTCCTTCGCGACCTTGACCTTCTCCACCACCTTCTTCGACTTGAGAAGGTCGAGCTCCAACGCCATCCAGGACCTCTCGAACCTGTCGATCTCCCACCTCGGGTGCCGAAACAAGGCCGTGTGCTGCGAGCCCATGAAGCGGTTGAGGTTGCACCTGATGTCGCCTGAAGGAGCCCGCGTCCGTTTCTTATCTGCATTACCACTGGCGTTTCATCATTGAAGATATGACCAAGACGCTGGAAGCACGCGAGCAAGACAGAGCTGTGGGTCGTGAACAAGGGGCGCGTCTCAGGAGTTGAGGAGCGTAGGCGCTCGTCCATGGCCTCGTGGAGCAGATGCTTGCGCATGTGCTCCCGCTCTGGACCGAACGCGCAGTTCCACACGACCATCATGATCATCCAGAACCCCTTGAGGCCCATGCGGTTGATTGCCAAGTCGAAGTCCCTGTTGCAGCCGTGCGTGTGGTCTGGCATCTTGTCCACGTTGAGCGCGAAGAACCGCTCCATGGCGTTGAAGCCTGCGAGCCCCTTCGGCCCAAGGTCCATGGATATGCCCAAGAATGGCCACGTGGACCAATGCTTCCAGAGACCGCTCCGTTTGGCATCAAATTTGAAAAGTACGAGTCCTCCGAGCTCCGTCGACTGCCTGATCTGGTTGTCGATATTCTGAATCCAATGCTTGGCCCCGACCCTGTGCTTCGTCGGTGGTCTCCACGTCGCTTTCGCGCCATGCACAGAGTGCCGCTCAACCCACGCCTTCTGGATCTTCTGGCTCTGAGTCTCGGAGGGGTTGAGCTCGTCATCTTTCGGCTTCCGCTTGGTGCCGACCACCTCGACTGGCTCAGCGTCAAAACACGCATCGACCTCCAGGCGGCAACCAACAAAAATCACACGCACGATGATCGCACACTAGGTAAAATCACCCGGGGCCTGATCCGCTGTATATAACTTTTACCTCTATTAGTGTTAGTTTATATACACCACCCCCGTTTCCTGATTTTGATCCTGGCGTATGTGCGTCAACGAGGTTTGAGCAGCGGTGGGGGTTAGGGGCCCGAGGTGGACTCACAACGCTTCCCCTGGAACATCGAACCTGAGGGATCCCTAAGATGACAGTGTTGTCAGGCAAGGCCAAGACGCTGTTCTGCAAGGGCATCGCGTGCGCAATGCCCTCGTCCGTGCTGATGAACCACGCCGTCTGATTGGCAGATGCGTGCTTGCAGTTCGCGACGTACAGGCCAACTGGTGGTCCAGCTCCATGCCACCAGTGGCGTCGAAGGCGTCGCTCCACTCCACCTGGAGGGCGTCGCTGGGCGCGACGGTCTTGCCCACCGCCAGGATCTTGGCCTCGAGGCGGAGGGATATCGTCAACACCTGGGCAGCAACGGCCTGCAGCTTCGGTTCCTGCATCGTCGATCCGAGGAAGTTCTTGATGGGGGCCTTCACGTCGTGGGGGTACTTCAGCTTGAGCTGCCTGGCGACCACGTGGGCGTTGGGGGCTCTATTCCTATTGGCGCCCGCGTCGAGCAAAGGCGTGATGTCCACAACCCCATCAATCATCTCGACGGTGACGACGCTGATGCCGTTGGGCTTCGGAGCAGGTCGCGGCCACTGGCACGCATACTTCGAGCACATCGCGACGTCGATGGACGCGTCAGGGACCTGCGCGAGCAACGCGGTGAGGAGGGACTCGCACGCACCCCTTGTCTGTCTTGTTCCGGAGCCCACCACCCTGCGCTTGATTCAAGATCCATCTCACCGAATGCACGAGGAAGCCGACGGTCGACACCGATATGTGCGGCAAGCACTTCTCGGGGTTGAGTCCACACTCTTCACCTCGAACGAGCCTCGTCGGGGAGGGGATTATCTGATTGCAGCCCAGGAGCTCCATGAAGGCCTTCACCCACTGCGGTTTCATGGCATACGCCCACTTGCTCTCCTCGCTCTTGTAGAAGTTGAACTTGCACAGTTTGTAAACGTCTCTGTACGTCCAATACAGCTGCTGCTGGCACGATCGTTTCTTGACGAAGTAGCACGTCGCCATCGTGAATGAAACTCCGAACCCTGGCACGCCGAACGTCGTGGAGAGGGCCCTGTGCTTCGTCGCATCCACCTCGATGTTGCAGATTTCCTCCCGGCAGGGCCGATGGGGGGAGGTGGGGGCACGTCCAAGGCGAGGTGTTGGCGGGGCATTGGTGCAGTGTAAAGCCCCCGCGCCTGCTCGGGCCCCTAAGGGCAGGACCGCGGACAAAGAGGCCCTCGGACCTCGACCGAAAGAGAGAGAAAGAGCGAGAGAGAGAGAGAGAGAGAGAGAGAGAGAGATGAGCCAACATGAGTTGCCAAATGATTTCACCCCAGAACGTTCGACGATCTCGAAGGACTGTAAGCTGAAGGCTTATCCTCACCTTGTCCTCCTCCACCTCCTCTCCCTCCTCTCCCCCCGTCTCCCCTCCCCGCCCTCCCCCTTGTCCTCCCCCCTCCTCGCGTGTCCTGCTTCCCTCCCCCTCCTACCATGATTGTGTTTTTCCCCAATGGCTCTCGATCAGAGCGGAGTTGCACCGCTCGCTGCGCGCCACCTCGGCCGCGCGCGCGTCGTGCCCAGCGCGCGTGCACCCGGCGCAGCCTCGCCCTCGGCGGTGCCCCCGAGTCGTCTGGCTCATCATCGTCTGCGTCGCTACGCCGACGCCTTGGCCTTCGCCTTGGCCTTCTTGACGCCGTGCTTCTGCTTGTCCTTCTTGCTGGCGAGCTTCGCCTTCGCCTTGTTGCGGGCCTCGGCCATGGACGACTTCCTCTTATCGTCGGCGATATTCTGCACCTCCGTCTTGACCGCCGCCTTCGTCGTCACCGCGGGCTTGGCGTCGCGCTCCCAGCGCGCGTAGCATTCCTGAACCAGCTTCTCGTAGTCCTCGGTCTTCGCAGTCCAGGCCTTGTCGCTGAAGACGCAGGGGCCCTGCTTCCCGACCTCCCCGGGCGAGAAGAAAAGGTGGAGCTTCAAGGGCGGGAACGGCTTCTGCTCTAAAGATGCCCTCCAATCGCTCCAGTTCTGGATGAGGTCGTACTCGTCGCTGATCTTCTTCTCGGAGACGTCGACCTTGTCGCCGTTGCGAAACCCCACTTGCTGGATGTAGCCATTGTCCACGTGCAACTTGTAGCAGCCGCAGACGTGCCACAGAATCCCGTGGGCGGGCTCGATCTTCTCGCGCAGAAGCTCGATCTTCGTGTCAGCCTGAGTGCCGCGCTTGTCAAGGAAGAGCGTCATGACATCGTGCACGATGAGGTCCTCCATCATGGTCAGGCTGAGGGGGAACGCGAGGTGGTACTTCATCAGTTGCGCGATCGAGTCCTCGTCCTTCTTCTTCAGCGTCGTCAAGCAGCGAATGGTGAAGCCCTTGGAGGACACCAGATAGTTGACGTAGAACATCTCGAGCTCCTTCCCACCTTTGAACGTGGTCACCTTCGTGAACTGCGCAGCGGCCTCAGCGATCGTCGTAGTCGTGAGGAACTTTTCGCGGTGCCACCTGAATGTGCCGCGCATGCTGGCGGGCTTCGCGATGAGGTAGTGAATCAATTCTTTCAAGAGAGGGTACGAGTCTTTCGCCTGCTGGTCGGAGCCCCTCGGGGGCTTGGGGCACTTCTTGGCGTGCGGGCGCAGCTTCGCGACAGTCGCCGACCCGACGCGCTCCCTCCGACGGGCCGCATTCGCGACCGCGCCGCCACCGTCGACAGGAACCGCGGCCTGACCCTCGGAGCCAGTTGCGCCCGACATGGGCCGCGAACTACCGCCAGCAAATCGCGCGCTAACGAAGGGCCCTTTTGGACTTGAGCCAAGATAGCCTACTGATGATGAGCAAGAGGAGTCGATGGGATAAGACGCGACCGCGGGCCCGCGCCCCCGCGGACAGCGGAGGGCGGCTGCCCGCGCCGGTGCCGGAATGATCACCTGATGGAGTGACGGAGTCACGCACGTCGCACGAACAGCCGAGGAACAGGTGGCCGAGCAGCCGATCAGCCGAGCAACAGGTGACCAACAGCAGCCCGTAAACATGTGACCAACAACAGCCGAGCCAGATGTGACCAACAATATCATAGCAACACGTGACCAACAACAGTCGAGCAACAAGGGGCCAACAACAGCGGAGCATCACTCCGCAACTCCACGCACGCTACTATATCACTAGTGGTCTACGCCCCTCTATTGCTCGTGCTCTACACTGTTCGTGATCTACGCTAATCTGTCACTCCGACGCTATGCCCGTCGCTCTCTACTCTACTCTGCCACCCCTACGCCCTACGATACGTTATCGCCCCATATATCACTACTGCTCTTATTCGCGATAACACTACTACGCTTACTCGTGCTCTCACTCTCACTTTCACTCCTACTATTGTCATTACTCGTACTCGTACTCGTACGTTGCCTCATATATGCCCTCATCCCCCCGTTCTCATCCACCCCACCCTGCCCCCCCCACCATGCCACCGATACTACGCGCACGCGTGATACCACTCATAATCCTACTAGTGGTATGCCGCTTTATTCGCTGACTCGCTTGCTATTTCTTGGGATCATAGCGCCATTCATATTATTAGTAGTGCCACTCCTGTAATATCTCCCTCTCCTTCTCACTCGCACCTCAATATGCCACTATATGTCGATAACTATCTCTCTCTCGCTATACAGTTCTCGCTATACCTAGATATGCTACCTATAATGCCCCACCCCCCACCCCCTAGTTCCCTCTATCTATCTTTCCCTCTCTCTCTACGACTTGACCTCTAGTACTATGTATGTTGATGCGCGTCAGCCCACCTCCTCCTCGTCCTCCAACTCCTCCTCGCCCCCGCCCCCTCGTCGACGGAAGCCCACCTCCTCCTCCTCCTCCTCATCATCATCATCATCCCCCGCCTCCCCCTTCCCCTCCTCCTCCTCCTCTTCCCCCCCCTCCTTCTCTTCGCCCCTCCTCCTCCTCCCCCTCCTCCTCCTCATCCCCCTCCCCCTCCTCCTCCATCTCCTCCCCCGCCCCGCGGCCCGCCCGCGGGGTCCGTGTCGTTGTCGTTCCGTGTGAGGAGGCCGCCGCTCGGCGTCTCCAGGACTTGCAGCTGGAAGATGTCGTCGACGTCCTTGAAGCTCTCGCTGCCGTCGTCGCCCACGCCGACCAGCATCGCCGAGCCCGTCTCGCTGAAGACCGCCGACCAGTCGCCCTTCGGCAGGGTAACGCTCTTGGAGGCGAGCGCGTGCGTCACCGCGAACTCGCCCTCGGAGACCATGTCCAGCTCGATGAACTCGCGGTGGCCCTTGACCACGCACTGGGCCAGCATCTCGTCGACGGCGTCGTCCACCTCCATGTCGCCGACGTCGGCCACGACCTTCTCAGAGCCACTCTTCGCCAGATGGTCGCCGCTGCTGCCGGCAACCATCGCGACGGCGGCGGCGCGCCGAGGCGGCGCCGCAGCGGCCCTGGACGACCCCTCGTCCCAAGGCCAGCACGGCTCTGGACCCCTCGCCCTCCCCTCGTCAGTGCTCGTGGAGAGCGCACTGAGCCCCGAGAGAAAAAAGAAGGAGGCGAGGAGGCGGAGGAGCGAAAGCAGGTCCTCCTGGCCCCACGGTGGAACCCCAGTGGCGCGTTAGTTGTTTTGCGTGGTTTTGTTATGGTGTGTGTGGGGGGGGGTCTGCGTTTCATGATGCCATGCATCGGTGGCCCACGTCAAGATTTTAATATTCATGCTCGACCCAAGTGTTAGCGCTAGGATGCTGAACTACAGCTACAAATTATCTGGGTGGGAAAATCTTCTAGGGACTTGCTGCTGTATATTATTTCCTTCCCGAAGGGTCACTCTTATGCGTAGCCGACAAAAGGCCTCGGGCTGCGGCCGGGCAACCACCCCAGGCAGGCCCGGCTGGCCTCAGCAACCCCCCCCCCTCCCCCTAGCAGACCCGGGCAGGGCCTCAGCATGCCCCCCCGAGCAGCCGGGGGCGGCCTCGGCACCCCTCCTCCCCCTCCTCCCCCTCCTCCTCCTCCTCCTCCTCCTCCTCCTCCTCCTCCCCCCCCTCCTCCTCCCGTGGATGAGGGGGCTTGCCGTGTCCACCCCTGATTCGTTTTGGGCCCGAAGGGGTTGCAGATTCAAGTGCGCACAGCGCGTTCCGGCAGGGCTCTGCCGGAACCCGATGGTGACAATCAGTATCGCGCAAGGGTGGGGGACCCCCAGCCCGCGACCGTTTAGATTGCCACAGAGCCGGCTTTATGCGGATAGGCCGGTACACCCAACATCACAATTCCGGCAAGAGTTGCATAGATGCCCCGCCAGTGCTTAGGGGAACGCTTCGACCTGCATCGTGCCAAGGGCTCGGTGCTGCCCAGGAGGTGGTGGCAACGCCACCTCCTGGACCACCTCAGGCATGCAGTTTTGGTGCCTCGGGGTTGCTTGAGGCGGAGGTGGCGGCAACGCCGCCCCCGCTTGCGGACGCGAGCTGTCCGTTAACTTCGGCTCAAGGACCGTCTGCACTGAGCGCAAAAATGGCCCGCGCCCGAACCGACGATAGCGAGCGAGAGCGCCTCCTCACTCGCCTCGCTATCTCAGCGAACACATTATTGAGATTACGATTCCGACTCCCCGTGCCACCACATCTGGGGCAGCCATTGCCCATCGGGCCTCCAAAAGCCCTCAGGCTCCTCAGGAGACTGGCCAGGAGGCAGGACATCCTGGACGACACATGTTCGGAGGAAAATCCAGCAGCGGTGGAATCGGAGACGGAGATGTCGGACGGTTAGCTCTTCAACGGGTTATCAGCCCAAACGCTACCACATCCGACTTCCAGAACCAGCAGGTCGCGATGCACTTCCGCCAGTGCCGTGCCTGCTTCGACGTTCTCGTCGGACCTTCGGTCGCCTGCGGCCACTGCGGCGCCGAGGTCCACGCGCGCTGCATGCAGGTCGTGAGCATGGCGCCCGTCTGCTACACCTGCCTGGGCGTTAGGGACATGTTCCTCGCCCAGCGGCGCGCGACGTGGACGGGCCACGTGGCCTCGCAGATGGGCCGCGCAGTCGCGAGCGGCAGCCAGCTCGCCGGCCAGGTGGTCGGCGCCACTGCCATCGGCGTCGCCACTGGCGCCGCGCGGCTGATCAGCGGAGCCGTGGCTGGAGCGCGCCAGACCTTTAGCGGCGCGTCCATGATCGGCGGGCCCGCTCGCTTGGACACGCCCCAGGCGCTGCCGCAGCTTGCCGCCGGCCCGCCCAGCATCAGCCAGGCCGCCGGCGATGGCGACAGGGTCGCGGCTCTCGAGGCGGAGATCGTGCGGCTCAGGGCCGAGCTCGAGTCGCGCGCCGGCGGGTGCGCCACGCCAGGCGGAGGCAGCGGCGCTGGGCTGCTCGCGCCGGCGACGCCTCAGCCACAGGGGCCTGCAGGCGACGATGCCGAGGAGGAGGACGAGGAGGAGGAAGCAGGGCTCCAGGCCGCTGCTGAGACTCCAGCTGCTGCCGGCACGGACGCCGTAGCCGCCGCAGCCTTGGCGCCGAATGCCGGCGCTATGCAGGATTTCGCGGGCGCCGATGGCGGCGGCCCGCATTCGATGGCGGGCGGCGCGGCCACTGGGTCCGCGGCCGCAGCCACCCTGATGCAGCAAGGATTGTTTGGCATCGCCACGGCGGGTGCCAGCAGCCTGCAACCGCCGATGCCGAGCACGTTCGGCGCGGCACCGCTGGCGAGCGGCGCGGCCACGGCTGCGGGCGCATCCAGCACCGGGTTTGGCGCCGCTTTCGCGGGCGACCAGCCGCCTCCAGGACTGGGCGCGGGCTGGCCATGGGCTGGCAGTGGCGCTGCCGGCGCTGGAGGATCAGGGAGCGGCGGGGTGCCACCGCCTCCGTCGCCATGGCATTTGCCACAGGCGGCCGCCGCCGTAGCAGCCGCTCAGCAGATGGGCGCACTCGGCGGCAGGGCGAGCGGGCCGCCGCCGCCACCGCCGCCGCCGCCAGCCGGAGGCGCCGGTGCGAGCTCAGCGCCTGGCGACGGCGCTGCGGGAGCGGACGCGGGCCTCGCGTCGGTTCTGAGCAGGGTGAAGGGCGAGGACGTGCCGAAGCTTGTTTGGAGCAAGGGTACGTCCAAGGCCAGCGTCTACGAGGAGTGGATGCAGAAGAGCACGCTGGAGATCACGGGTCTGCACTCGACTATCGAGTTGTGGTGGGGGTCGCTTCGGGCGAGCGTGGAGGCGGCGTACGAGGAGTGCATCTCCCTGGACCCGCTCCGTCGCCCATTGATCCGTCCTCAGAGCAGCTGGGCGGAGGCGCCTGGCATGCGCGCGGTGGAGATGAAGTTCCGCCCGCTGCTGTTGGAGGCCATGCCGGAGACGATCCAGTCCCAGGCACTGGCGACGCGCCAGCTGGCGCGCAGCGAGATCGTCTTCGCTGCCGCCGTCGAGGCGGGGCCGGGGGCGCTGAGGGACCGTGAAGCGACCCTCAAGGCCGTCGAACGCCGTGGCCTGCCAGGCGCTCCCCCCGTCGCCGAGTGCTACGCGGCGCTCCAGAGGTGGAAGTTCGAGTTGACTCGGCTTCAGAGGTTGGGCGCCACGGCCCCCGACCCCGCCATCCAGCTCTCCACGCTCAGCTTCGAGCACCGGCCCTTCAGCTACGAGATGTCGCGCGGCATTTCCGGTGCCAGCTCGTGCAGCCAGGCTGCAGTCGACGAGTACTGGCGCTACCTGGCGGCCGAGGCGCGAGAGCTGAGCGGGGGGGATTCGGCTGCTAAGGCGCCGAACGTGGCAGCCAAAGTGGCGGCCCTCGAACAGCAGATCCGTCAGCAGACACAGCGCCAGCCGCAGACCAACGCCAGGCCCGACCCCAAAGCCAAGGCCAAGGCCAAGGTGAAGGCCAAGGCGAAGCCGGAGGCTAAGGGGAAGGGCAAGAGCGGCGAGCCTGGGCAGAGGCCCTGCCGATTCTTCGAGTCCGATGGCGGCTGCCGCAATGGCGCCCAGTGCACCAGCCTCCACCAGAGGCCAGAGAAGTCAGAGGGAAAGTGCTTCAACTGCGGTGCCATCGGTCGCAAGATCGACAGCTGCCTGCGGCCGCGCGCTGACCCCGCCGCCCGCGTCGCCAACGCAGGCACGGCGGGAGATGCAGCCGCGGCCGCCGCCGGAGCTTCTGGACCTCCTGCCGCCGGCGGTGGACAGCCATCTGGGCCGCCTCCCGCGCTGCCCAAGACCGCCGAGGCTTTTGCGGCGGCTCTTCAGCAGGCCGAGGCTCGAGGCCGTTCCGAGGGAGGTCAGTTGATGCTCAACTCGCTTGCTGCCCAGGGCAGCGGCGCGGGCGCGAGCGCCAGGCTCGCAGGCGGCGCCGATGGCGAGGCCTTCTGGACTTCGCCAGCTGGGCCCCCGCCACCGCGGGCGAAGATGGCGTTGCCGGCGGGCGACTTCGCAGCGCTGGAGCGAGCAGCGGCTGCTGCAGCGGCGCCGGCAAGCGCATCGACGCTGAAACGCGACCAACTCGGTCGCCCGCTGCTTCTGGCGGACACGGGAGCCAGCCACGAGTTGGTGTCCTACGGCCACGTGGCGGGTGAACCAGCGTCACCACCAGTCGCAACTACGAGCGTGGAGCTCCAGATTGCGACTGGCGGCCGGGAGGCGCAGCTCGGCGTGGATGAGAAGCTATACGTCTACTCGCCCACGGAGCTGCAGCCGCTCTTCCCGCTCGCGGCGGTGAACGAGGAGCTCGGCCTGCAGATGACTTGGAGCCCGTCGATTTGCGAGGTGCGGCTGCCGGATGGCAGGGCCATCGACTTCATCAGGGACGGCGGGTCCATCTACTTGGACGAGGACAGCGCCGACGTGCTGAGGCAGCTGAGGACCGCCATGCGCGAGCGTCGGGCTCGCGCTGCGCTGGCCCGGGCAATTGCCGCCGCGGTCAGCCTGCACGATCTGGGCCGTCATCGTGCCGAGGGCCACCCACGGTTCATGGCGGAGTGCGGCGAGTGCCGACGAGCCGCAGGCCGGATGCGCCCGCACCTGAGACTTGACCAGACGACGCGCCCGGGCGGGCAGCTGAGCGTGGATCTGTCGGGCTCGCACCCGCCAGGGCGGCGGCCGAGCAGCTGGCAGGAGGATCAGCCGCGCCGCGCCGCGTACTTCATGGTGGCGGCTTTCGCTGTGTTCACCCGCAGCGACGCGGCAACCGCGGAGGAGAACGAGACCTTCGCGCGCGCCGCCGCGGAGCTCCAGGATCCAAGCGCTTCAGAGCTCGCCGACCTGGAAGCATCGCTACACCCGGAGGCTGCGGCTTCCGACGCGGCCGGCACGGTCGCGCAGCGCGCCGCCATGAACGCCGGCCTCCTCATCGCGGTCGCCCGGGCGCGATCGCAGGAGGAGGCAAGGGGGGATGAGCAGTGCAAGGACGTGCAATTGCCAGCGGAGCCGAGGACATGGTACTACGCCTGGCCGCTGGCAACGAAGACAGCGAGCGAGACGTTGGCGGCTATGGAGTCCATCAACGTCGAGGTCTGCGCGGAGCTCGACTGCAAGGCGGTCTACCGCATCCATGCGGACCGAGCGGGTGAGCTGGCGGGGCCAGTCATCAAGCGCGAGATGGCCGCGCGCCACGACATCGCGACCACCAGCACGGCCGGCGCGGAGCCGAACTCGAACGGCCGAGCTGAGCGAGCCGTTGGCCTGGTCAAGGGCAAGGCTCGCGCGATGTTGCTGGCGCCCGTCTTCACGGCGGCCGACCGCCAGGCCCTATGGCCAGCCGCGGTCTGCCACGCAGCGTGGTGTCAGAGACGCGCCGCGCAGGGACGCTCGTTCGCGGGCATCCCTCCCTTCGGAGCCGCGGTGCACGCGCGCCTGAAGGATCAGCAGGGGTCCTTCGAGCCCCGCGCGGTGCCGAGAGTGTACCTCGGCGCGGTGCCTGACGTTGCGCACGGCGCGCTGCTGGGGCACAAGAAGGGCGGCGAATGGCACTTCGAGGTCAGCTCGTCGTTCGTGGTGGACCGGGCAGCCGCCGACAGCAGCCCGGCAGGGCCGCCGGGCGCCGCCGCCGCGTCTGACCGTGTCGCGCTGCCCGCGCTGCCGCCTGGGCTCCCGCCAGGCCTCGGAGGAGGCGACGCCGTCGTCGCAGGCGACGGCCACGTCGCGCCGGCAGCTGCGGCGCCTCAGGGGGATCAGGAGGAGGAGCAGCAGCAGCAGCAGCAGGATCCTCTCAGATTCGAGGTCCCTCCCGAGGTGCGCTGCCCCGCGTGCCTGGGGCGCAAGCGAGCCCACACCCGAGACAGATACTGTCTCAAGGGGGAGCGGGCGCGGCTCCCTGAGGACGACGTGTTCGAGGGAGGGCCGCACGAGGCAGCTGCATGGTCATGCCCTGCGTGCCGCGGCCGGCATCGGCGGCATACATGCGACGAGCGGCGCCGCCTTGGCACAGGAGCCGGCGGGGCAGCAGCAGCGGAGGCTGGACCTTCGGCAGCGGCCGCCGCCCTCGTGCTGCCCTCGGACCCTGTGGCGATCTAGTCTGCTGCAGACCACGTCGAGGGTCGCTCCTACGACGTGCGCGATGAGCGTGGGGACGACCACGACGACGACGACGCCGAGCTCCCGGCCTTCCAGGAGATCGATAAGGAGTCCGGTATGCAGCCGGTGTCGACCGCCGAGATTCGCGCGAGTTTCGGAGCCGAGAGGGAGGGCCGGCGACTTGCCCTCGACAGCGAGTTGTCCATCCTGCGCTCCATGGGGGCGTTCGAGGTGTTGACCGAGGCGGAATCGGCCAGGGTCCCCAAGGGCAAGATTATCCCCATGAAGGTCGCTGCTGGTACGAAGCCACCCCTGGCCGCAGAGCTGGGGCGCCGTAAGCAGGCGCGCGCGTGCATCTGCGGGAACTACCAGGAGCGGAGGGCAGGGGAGGACGTGTACAGCGGAAACATTGACGCTTCGAGCCTCCGCCTGGTGCTCGCGGTCGCAGCGGCCCAGAGGTGGAGCTGCTCCGCGCTGGACGTCGCCACCGCCTTCCTGAACGCGCCTCTGCCGGTGGAGGTGGGGGACATAATGGTTCGACCTCCTTCGATCTTCAACCATTTTGGTTTGATCCAGCCGGGTGAGCTTTGGCGCGTGCGGCAGGCGATTTACGGCCTCCGCATTGCGCCGAAGGCATGGGGCGACAAGAGGGACCGCCAGATGAGGGCCATGAGCATCAAGTACTTGGGCGAAACGTGCACGCTGAGGCAATCGCACGTCGACCCTTGCCTGTGGTCCGTCGTCGCCGTGTCGGGCAAGGTAGCGGGGTACGTGTGCGTGTACGTCGACGACTTCGCCCTCTTCGGCCCGGGCGCGGTGGTGTCCGAGCTCGGGCGCCTGATGTCGGAGACGTGGAAGTGCAGTGTGCAATCGCTGATTTCGTTCAGCGCTCCAGGGACCATCAAGTAACTCTCCCTGTCCATTGAGGCTCGGCCCGACGGGTACTACGTGCGCCAGTGCGAGTGCACCAACGATCTGCATGAGAAATGGGGCCTGGACCGCGGCAACTCCGCCGGCACGATCGCCATCGAGCCGCTCCCGGCCGGCGATCCCGAGCTGCAGGGCCAGGAGGAGCCGGAGATCGCGGATATTAGGCTGGCGCAGAAAATGTCAGGTGGGTTGCTTTGGCTCTCGGGCCGGACCCGGCCAGACATTGCGTATGCTGTTTCACGCGTCGCGTCCGCTGCAGCTGCTCATCCCCATTGGGCCCTTCGCCTAGGAAAGCGGATCCTTAGGTATCTCGCTGGCACGCGCCATTACGGTTTGAGTTTTAGGCTTGGGGGGAGGGCCTCTTTGGAGGTGTTCGCCGACGCGTCATTCGAACCAGGATGTGCGCAAACAGGCATTGCCGCTTATTTTCACGATTGCCTCATTGACTGGCGCTCCTCGAAGCAGCCGCAGCCCCCGCGCAGCACCGCCGAAGCGGAAGTGACCGCTCTGGCGATGGGCGGCCTGGTGCAGGAGGGCACCGAAGCCGTCTTGAACTCTATGTTCGTGCAGCCTGAGGTCACCAAGATGTGGGGTGACAACTCGGCTAGCCTGTGCATTTTCCAAGGGCACGGGTCATGGCGGACCCGCTGCCTAGCCGATCGCGCCGCGGCCATTCGTGCCAGGGTCGAGGCAAAGTTACTCGACCTTGGGCACGTGCCCTCAGAGGAGCAGCGCGCCGATGGATTGACGAAGACTTTCAGCGTCCCCAGAATGACCAAAATCCGGGCGCATTTCGGACTCAAGGATTTGCGACAGCCGCGCGGGCAGCTCGCCCGAGCGAGCCGCCTGGCCCATTCAGTATCGCCGTTTCTGTCGATATGATTGCGAATTTGTGATCATTTTCGGCGCCGCCGCGCCAGTAGAGTTTTGAACCTCAAGGTGCCGGGATGCACCGGCGTCGATGGACACGCTGGCGCGCGAGTGCTTGGTCAGGCATGTTTGTTTGTACATATGTTGATTTCAGCGCAGTTGTGGTCGGACTGGCCTCCCCCTCCTCCCGGGTCGCGGACCCGAGGCGTCCTTGCAGGCGATTGCGACTAGCTGCGTCGACGCCCGCAGGATGAGGAGGAGCGTGGATGAGGGGGCTTGCCGTGTCCACCCCTGATTCGTTTTGGGCCCAAAGGGGTTGCAGATTCAAGTGCGCACAGCGCGTTCCGGCAGGGCTCTGCCGGAACCCGATGGTGACAATCAGTATCGCGCAAGGGTGGAGAACCCCCAGCCCGCGACCGTTTAGATTGCCGCAGAGCCTGTTTTATGCGGATAGGCCGGTACACCCAAAATCACAATTCCGGCAAGAGTTGTATACATTTTCCGCCAGTGCTTAGGGGAACGCTTCGACCTGCATCGTGCCAAGGGCTCGGTGCTGCCCAGGAGGTGGTGGCAACGCCACCTCCTGGACCACCTCAGGCATGCAGTTTTGGTGCCTCGGGGTTGCTTGAGGTGGAGGTGGTGGCAACGCCACCCCCGCTTGCGGACGCGAGCTGTCCGTGAACTTTGGCTCAAGGACCGTTTGCACTGAGCGCAAAAATGGTCCGCGCCCGAACCGGCGATAGCGAGCGAGAGCGCCTCTTCACTCGCCTCGCTATCTCAGTGAACACATAATTGAGATTACGATTCCGACTCCCCGTGCCACCACATCTGGGGCAGCCATTGCCCATCAGGCCTCCAGAGGCCCTCAGGCTCCTCAGGAGACCGGCGAGGAGGCAGGACATGCTGGACGACACATGTTCGGAGGAAAATCCAGCAGCGGTGGAATCGGAGACGGAGATGTCGGACGGTTAGCTCTTCAACGCCTCCTCCTCCTCCTCCTCCTCCTCCTCCTCTTCCTCTTCCTCTTCCTCCTCTTCCTCCCCCCCCTCTTCCTCCTCCTCCTGCTCCTCCTCCTCCTCCTCCCCCCCCTCCTCCTCCTCCTCCTCATCCCCCTCATCCCCCCCCACCCGTCCTCCCAGGGGCGGGGGGGAGGGGGGTCTGTGCGGCGCGGGATCCGGCGCCATCTGACGGCGGGTGCTTACAAGCATATAAACTGTAAGTAGTGTATACACATATTATATGTACACATCATTTTTCCACCGCGGCATCCACGCGGGTCACGTGGATGAGATGCTGCGCATCCAGCGCGGGAGGCGCCGCCAGGTCGGGGGCGGCGCCCCCCGCGTGAAGCGGCGCTTCCCGCGGGGGCCGCGCGCCACCTCGGCGAGTGGAGACGGGGGGGGGCCTTGGAAGAAGCGCCCCCGCGGATCCCAGCGCAAACCCGAGGGGCCGTCTCCCATTCGAATGGGCCCCGGCCAGCGGCCCCGGGGCCGGAGAGAAAATAGCGTGCAGGGGGGGGGGGATCCGCGGGGGCTCTTCTTCCCAAAGTCTCCTCGACCCCTTCCCGCCGCCCCGCCCTCGCCCACGCCCAGGTCGACCAGGCGCCCGCAAGCGAGCGCCAGCGACAGGCTGAACGAGCAGCGCCGGTCTCCTCCTCAGACGCCTCCCAAACAGGGTCGGAGTAACAGGGTCGGGAAGACCCGCCGCGTCGCCAACGGGTCGGCGACGCGATGCGACTCCGCCGACCCACGTACTCCCACCCTATCTGGGAGGCCCGGAGTCCCGCGGGCGTCATCTTGGCGACGTGCACGCACGCGGCGTGGGCGAAGAACGTGCCCTCCGCCGCGCACAGCTGGCAATGCATTGCGTCCTGAGGCCAGTCCAGCAGTGGGGGCCGGACCGCGCCGCTACCCCCCCCCCCCCGCCCACCCGCGCCCGACCTTCGCCGCCTGGGGCGGGTGTATGCCCAGCTGCCACCCCGTCGCTCCAGCGAGGACGGCGGCGCGGTTAACGCGCACTCACGGGGGCGATATGCAACTCCGGACCAATGGGGGGGGGGGGGGGGGCGCGGCAGCCATTTGCCCCAATCCCACTGTCCAGGAGCTCCGCGCTCATCGCCCCAGGCCTGCGCCGAGAGGCGGAAGAGGAGAGGGGCCGCAGCCGTCGCCGTAGGGAACTGCGGGAGAGGGTTGTCGACTGGTGCCCAGGACAGGACTCGAGCCGACGCCCCGCGGACCCCATTGGCTCGCGGCCACCTCCGCGAACATTGGCACGCCCCCTCGCGCGTTTCGTAACCCAAAGGAAGCTCCGCGGAAGGCCTCAACGGGCAAACCCCGAAATCTCGAACCGCCGAGGCAGAACAAACAACCCATGGAAAATGCCAAAAGTCGCAATCAAAAGCCATGGGCTCGAAAAAAACGATCAAGAGCAAAATGCGCAGCTGGCTGAAACAAGAACGCCGCGGAGAACGCACGCTGGTGACACGTTCATAGAAACTGTGACCTGGCAGAGGTTTCGAATCCCCGAAGCAAGGCAATTCCCCCCGGAGGTCAGCGAAACGCCGCGCTCAAATTTAAGGGGCGCCCGAAAAAGAGGCAAGCGAGAACGAAAAAACGCGGCCAGCTAAAACGAGGGCGCCGCGGAGAACGCAAACTGGTGACACGTTCATAGAAATGGCGACAGGGCAGGCGTCGAATCCCCAAAGCGGGGCAGCTGACCCCCGGAAGTCTGCGAAAAACCGTGCTCAAAGTTTAGGGGCGCCCGAAAAACGGGCCAGCGAGATCAAAACAAAACGCGGTCAGCTAAAACAAGGGCGTCGCGGAGAACGCAAACTGGTGACACGTTCATAAAAAGTGCGACAGGGCAGAAGTGTCGAACCCCCGAAGCGGAGCGCACCCCCCCCCCCCCCCTCCGAAGGTCAGCAACAAAGGCGTACTCAAAGTTTAGGGGCGCCCGAAAAATGGCCAGCATGAACAAAAAACTTGGCCAGCTAAAGCCAGGGCACCGCGGAGAACGCAAACGGGTGGCGCGTCCAGAGAAACAGAAACAGGGCAGGTGTCGAATCCCCGAAGCGGAGCAAACCTGCCCGGAGGTCAGCAAAAACGCACTCAAAGTTTAGGGGCCCCCAAAAAAGCGGCCAGCGACGACGGCAGACGCGGCCAGCTATGACGAGGGCGCCGCGGATAACGCAAACTGGTGAACACTCATGGAAACTGCGACAGGGCAGAAGTGTCGAATCCCCGAAGCGGAGCAAATCCCCCCTGTTTAGGGGCACCCGAAGAAAGGGCAAGCGAGAACAAAAAACGTGGCCAGCAGAAACGAAGGCGCCGCGGAGAACGCAAACTGGCGACACGCTCATGGAAACAGCGACCGGGCAGGTGTCGAATCCCTGGAGCAGAGCAAATCCCCCCCCGGAGGCCAGCGAAAAACCGCACTCAAAATTTAGGGGCCGCACATGTTTCAGACAGAGCTGGCGTTTTCGCCCCCCGGAGACCCCAGGGGAGCTCCGCCGCCCAACGCGCCCCAGGATATCGGCGAAAAACCGTACTCAACGTGTAGGGGTCGACGATGTATTTGACAAAGCTGAAATTCTCGACCAGCGGAGACCTTTGGTCGTCGTCGTCGTCGTCGCCGTCGCCACCGCCGCCGTCGTCGCCGTCGTGCCAATGGATATGATGGACGTTTTATGTGGTGAACTCAGCGCGCGCGCGCCTAACCATCAAACGCCTTCGCTGCTGTTCGGCCCCCGCAGACCGTTCCAGATCCACGACCTCTCTGAAGAGATCGGCGCGCCCTGGCCTCTCGGTGCACTCGCGTTTCCGGCCAAAGAGCTTGCGCAGCTCAAAGCAATTATGCTGCGCATTTCCCAAAGATAAAACATCAAATGGCCACTCTGTTGACAGCCGATGGGCGACGCCACTCGTATCGAGCTCTCGGAGACACGGGGCAAGCTTGGCGCGAACCTGCGCTATGTCGCCCGAGCGATTGTCGTAAATCTTGGGGCCGCGCTCGAACATTTCCGCCACTGGCCTGGCGACCCCTTTCCCGACGACAGTATGCTGCGTAAGACGGATGCGCGATTCAGCGTAAAAGATAAATCTGGCCACCTGCGCAGCTCGGAGACCAGGCAGCTTTGCCTTGACCTTCGATGCATCAATGATTTCCGCTGGGCTGTCGCAAGTTTTGAGCAGGCGCACGGTGGCGATCAATTGCCCGCCCATGAAAACAATGCACGCGCTCACAATGTCTACGATGCTAGCTAGTATTATCGGAGGCAGCGCCGTCGCCGGCATTGCGAGCAACTTGTCCGAACATTGCGAACGCCCCTGTCTGCATGCCCGGGTTCATAATCCACCCGCCCTCCGCGCCTTCCGGGCACCGCTGGGTGTGCCGCGCCTTGAAGTCAGCTGGGGCTTCGGCGATCATCTCCCTGTGCATAGCGGGGTTATGAATGAGCACCTGCGACAATGCGATAAACCGAAGAGATGCCTCGTCGAGCCCAACGACGCCTCGATGCAGCTGGTGGCGGGCGAGTGCGTTGCGCGCCTCTAAAGACATGCGCCCACGCTGCCACGACGCACCGCTCATCTTGTGGTTTCCCAACCGTTCAATGTAGTCGTCGAGTCCCTCCACGCGCTGGGCCTGGCTTCCAAGACGCGCGAGAAGAGCGCCACCCATGCTGACAATCCGCAACCCACGCGGTGGAATCCACTGGGTGCGAAGTATGCGCGCGGCGCAATTGGGGGGGGTGCGGTGGCGGTGGTGGTGGTGGTGGGGGGGGGGGGGGGGATGCACGTGGCGCGAGCTGCGCCCTGGCGCGGGCTAAGTGGCGCTGCCTGCGCAACCGAATAAGAGCGCATCTAAACATATGAAAACAAGGCCAGAGCGAGAAGGAATACATATATGCAGGAACGAAAGGCGCTCCGCCACCGCCCTGCGCGCGCGCGACACAACCGCCCCTGCCGTCCGAACAAAAATCTTGCACTGCATCTAAAATCCGGCAACGGGGCCAAAGCGAAGAGGAGGAAGGACGGGGAGAATGATGGGGCGAGCA